GTTGATCTTCGTTTTTCGCGGTAAAGAAACTTTTTATCGATCAAGTCAAGTTCATATGGACGCCATTTTTGTTTGTTTGTTACCCATGACCTCGATGGTTCGATATTACAGGTATGTGATTCACATATATTTACACTCAGATGAGGTCACAGTGAACGTATTGCCGAAAGTGATATCTGATATATGCTTACTTTATATAAAAACTGTCCAATTTAATGAGTAATGCAATTTGTTTTGCGCATAGTTGCAACCTTCCTAGCAGCGGCAATTCTTGTATATTACTATTATACCCAGTCATTGATTTGCCACAGTTTATCCTGTCAAGAACTGTTATTCTGCTACTGAAAACCATATAGACAAATTAGAATATAGAGTTTTTGTCTCAGAGTAGTGTACAGAGTAAGAACTAAGATGTGAGAATATTTTATATATTGAAATATATCGAACCTTATTCATATATAGTTGATATCGCAAAAATTGCGCTAGAATGAGGTTTGCCAGTTTGCCACATCTGATTGGCTGCCGGATTCAGTCTGCCAATTCTGATTGGTTCAGCACTGTCACGTGGTTAAAAACCAAATGCTATATATTGGAGTGGAAGACAGTACTTGTCAGATAACTGCAGAGCGCGGTCAAATTCAATACCAGACGTAACATCTGTGAAGTTGAACACCCTTTTTAGGTAATGACATACCGGGTATATAACTTGCTATAATAATAATAATAATAATAATAATAATAATAATAATAATAATAATAATAATAATAATAATAAATGACTGACAAAGTAATAATAATATTCTGACTTATTTGGACATTGCTTAGGTGAAAAGCTAGTAAAATAAGCAATACCTTGGACATTTGAACATCCGTGTTTTTTAACAATATACAGAGGCAAGCATTTTGGAAAATTACGTAGGTAATGTTCAAGTAAATTATTCTTCCAAATTGTGCAGTTATCTCCCACCACACTGGTTACCTGGGTTAAACTAATACAAAGCAAATCTTCAACTTTCTTCTGTTATGGTTGCTCTATGATTTTCAGTCATTATTTTATTTATTTAACATTGAAACAGACTATTATGTGCTGAGACATTTTATTGAAATGATCCAGGAAAAAAGACAAAAAATCAACGTCAGTATCTAATGTTACAATACAAGAGTGCAATCAACGAGTGTTTCCTTGCAGGAGTATATTTGTTTTATTCCTAACAATATTTCCTACTGGTGACAGCTTTCCAATTTCTCAGTTGTGTTACCCTCATTAAACATTTTTGTTGACTTTATTGTTGAGTGGAACCTCTTCAATGAACCCTCCCTAGCAGACAGGAAGTCGAGGTGTTTATAATATTTTGGGTTATATCATTGAGATAAATCAAGACTATTGGACTCATTAAAGACTATTCGTACATCAACACGTTCAAGATTATTGGAATTCATTCGGAATATTCTATTCTTTTGGACTTTTTTATAGAACATTTAGAATTATTTTGGATTTTATTCAAAATACTGAAAATTCCTCTTAAATTTTCACTTTGAAACAAATTTAACAAATTGTAATAAATTTATTTATCGATTTTACTAAATGTTTTGTTTCGCTTGCTTCTCTTACTTAGCTCATCCATAGAGTTGTAACAGCTGCCATTAAAGAATTGTACGCCTGTTACACTCTTTGGCAAACGGTATACTATTTTAGGAACAGCTCTTGATTACACAAAGCAATAAAATTATTTAAAGAGCGACGTTAACTCTCATCACAACCAAACTCATGTGTGAAAACGATGGAAAAATCAGGTAGTGTCTGCAAACCGAAATTTTGTGACAATCGAAAGTTGGGTGCAGTTTCTGTTAACGAGATAGCCTGCAAGCTTGCCAATGCCACACAAAAAGCACGAGAGAAGTAAACAAATGGTCGGAAATCCTTACAAGTAGAATCATGTCATTGAAACTTTTTTGTTTAAAGACGCCATATGTAAGAGCTAAGTTTGTAACAAAAATATTCGCATTCCTAAAATTATTGTTAGACTTCGGAACTTTAATTTATAGATGTTGTAATGCCGCCGTTAATCGCATTGGCAAGAAAATGAGGAAACAAGTCATGCAAGCAGAAGGTTTGACTTACAATTAAGATGTACTTTTTCTGAGAGTATATATATATATATATATATATATATATATATATATATATATATATATATATATATAATTGTTGGCAATAGGAAGTTCCACTTCATTTAGTGAAAAACGCACACATCACACATCTTACAGACAGAGAGAGAGAGAGAGCGAGAGAGAGAGAGAGAGAGAGAGAGAGAGAGAGAGAGAGAGAGAGGGAGAGAGAGAGAGAGAGAGAGAGAGAGAGAGAGAGAGAGAGAGAGAGAGAGAGAGAGAGAGAGAGAGAGAGAGAGAGAGAGAGAGAGAGAGAGATGAATTTGTAAGATTTCCAAACATGTGATGATAAGCAAGCTCAGCTCATCTTAGAGGATAAAAAGGGGACATGTAAAAGGAAAAAAAACCAGCGCCGAACACGAAAAAACACCTGACAATTTTAAAATAACTTCAGTATGAGAAAAGGAAACATTACGTGGGAGGAATAAACATCAAAATGAATGCACAACATTTTTACATCAGTGAAATATTATATAATCTAAACAGAATAGAAAATTAAAAATCTGAATTAAAACAAACTGCTAAAAATAGAGCATGTGAGTAGTTAGCGCAAAATATAAGTAAATTTACGGAAGACAGTGTAGGAATTCGGTTAGATGAAAATCCGTTTCCATCTGTTAGTAAGTTACCTAATGAAGCAAGATATCTAATCCGTCGATCAACATTAAATATTCTTTGTTGAGCATTACTATTCCAGCTTTTGTATACTGCATTTAGTCGAGCGATCTTCAGCTTTTATTTTGGCTGAGAGAATAATTTTTGTATTTGTCACTCAGACATAAATTAATATCTGAATTTACTTTTTATTGTATCATTTTATGATTTACCTGATACTATTTTATTATTTACCTGACACTGTTTTATCATTTAACTGACAACATAGGATCATTTACCTGACAAAATTGTATCATTTACCTGGAATCATTATCATTTACCTGACAACATTTTATCATTTACTTGAATCCTTTTTTTTAAACTTGAGTACTAAAGTACACTATCCTCTTTTGGTACATCAGGGTCAATTGAAAATGAGCGGATTATTTAAAATATTCCAAGTGGTATCACATTGAGTGTCTCCTGATTCTAAATCCAATCTGATGTTGATCAGTATTAATTACTTTTCTTTGTTGTGATAGAAATATTTCCAATGCGTAATCAACTCGATAAAGTCCATAAAGTCAAGCACTCTGAAATTTCCGTCTTGGATGACCACGGTTAAATTGTATTTGTCATTCAGATTGAAGTTTTGAACTACATTTTTATTAATTTGTCAGTACTGATAATCTTAAAAGACATCATCCGGGTACTGTATAATACAAATTGGCATAATTCTATGGGGGGGGGTCATTGCAGTTGGCAACAAAATAGGTGTGGGATAGCTGTCTTGTTAATGTAAATTCTGAACAATTCTTGACATCGTTTTAGACACGATAAGGATAACACTTGATTAATTATCAACTTCCTTGATGTTATCAGCATGAAAAACGACTATTTAAAAGTTATAAAGTTCTTTGGTCAGCCCAATGCTATATGCGGAAAGAAATCTACCCATTTGTATTATACGATTAAATGACCATTTGTCGAAGTGAAAATTTTGCCTAATCAGCTACTCATTGATTAAATAAATAAGTCCGAAAAACAAACCGAAAGAAATCCAAGATTTTACCGATGTGTAAAAACATTGCACACCAGCATCACGTTACCGTATAGATCAAAATCATATTGCAGAAAAACAATTAAATTCGTAATAAATGGAATTATGATTATATACAGCAAAATTATTTCTTCTGCTTTTGTGCGTCCATCTGCATGATGAAGTTTATATTAAAACATTCTAATATACTTGCCTTTGTTCGAATCATTGCCTAGTTTCTTATGCTAATCCCAGTGTGAATTTATAATAGTTCTTACACTGATATATTTGAAAGAAAGGCCGTTTTAACTTTTAACTACCAACTATTTTATGATGGCAAGGTTGTGAGAACTAGCATTACACTGACATTAGCATAACAAATAGGAAAGTTTCTGACGTTAGTCTTTCCTTGGTTATGGACGTTAAATGTGTATAAAAGAGTAAGCGGAAACATTCAACATTTTTGCATTTTGAGATTGAATATCTCTACTTGACAACCAACCCCTCCAGTATATCATGGACTGATAGACACACGGACATACACACAGTCAAATCACGATATTGATGAATGAACAGAAAAATGTGATAAATAAAGGAAGTTAGAACATTAATATCCTGCTGCTATTATGACCCAGTACTATCCATTGACGTTTTCCATTTTAAGAAATGCATTCATTTTCTGCTTGACACAAACGTACAATTAATAGGTTTCTTCGTTTTGTCAGCAAATCGTCCAAAGCGGTGGGTGAGGCTAATATATGTTTCTTTGACTTGTATCTTTAGGCTATTTCTCAGTAGGTTGACTTCACTTAGCACACATTATTATGGCTTTTTAACGTATTTTTCAAGGACCACCAACTATGTACCAACCCAGAGACTTATTAGGTCCTCAGACAATAACAGTTCATAGTTAAGGTCTGCGCTGAAGATACAATATGTGTAGACTCTCAACCTCTTCATTAGCTTCCTTTTGATATCTTCAAGATGTCCTCTGTTAGACATGATTATAAATAGATTTAAAGGTAGGTTAATTCAGTAAAAAGATTCTCCAGCTGTGTTTCTGTCTAATCGTGAGAGGTCACTTTTAGACATTCAGTCAATTGAAAAGCCAAAGTTTTTAACAAAACACTTAAAATTGTTTCTCTATGAACTGAGGTATCGTCGCATTTTAAATTCTTGACCAATACACTTCTTAACCGCTCCGGTGACCTGGTGGTTAGAGAATCTGCCTTGGCTGCGGAAGGTCGCGGGTTCGAACCCTGACCGAGTCATACCAAAGACTTATATAAATGGTACTAACTGCTGCCTCGCTTGGTGTTCATCATTAAGAGATTAGTGTTAGGAATGGTTTTCCTGGTTTCAGAATAATATGATTGGGTGGATATCATGCCACATGCCTGCAGCATGATGCCCCAGTGCTAGACATCACTATAAACTGTCACTGCAGACATCGTAGCGATATGACTGTAACATTTTTAAGCTACGTTATAAATCTCTCTCTCTCTGTCTGTCTCTCTCTCTCTCTCTCTCTCTCTCTCTCTCTCTCTCTCTCTCTCTCTCTCTCTCTCTCTCACACACACACACACACACACACACACACTACATTCCTTGTTGTTCTGCATATAAATATGCCTGCAACCTGTGGCGTGCCATTGACTTTATAACGTCATAGCAGAAGATAGTAGACAACTGTTTCCAAATCCCAACAACAAGAGATAAGTTTTTGATCTGCTCTGTAAGGCTCGTATTTGTTAACCAATGGTACTCACTAAGACACTTAAACTAAATAACTACAGTTCTATTAATATTCACACATACACACACAAACACACACACACACACACACACAAACACACACACACACACACATATATATATATATATATATATATATATATATATATATATATATATATATATATATATATATATATATATATATATATATATATATATATATATATATATATATATATATATATATATACACAATTAAAAGCTGTATCAGTCAAGTGCATACAAATATGTTTCAAATGTAAAAATTGCATCTTTATGCGACGCGATAACTAGACTAACCAAAAATGAGAGAGAGAGAGAGAGAGAGAGAGAGAGAGAGAGAGAGAGAGAGAGAGAGAGAGAGAGAGAGAGAGAGAGCAGACGTCGCCCAATGGACACTGTTTCGATGATCGGCAATTTGCTGTTGGTTATAAAGCTTTAACTATTTTTTCTATAAAATTTGTAACCTCCGAATCATGAGAGTTATATTCAATTATATAGTATTAAAATTATATAAATTATTAATATTATATTAATTTTAATAAGAGTTTTCAGTTTATTTATAAACTAGTAGGAAAATATCAAACAGTCTAAATTTTATAATACCATATTAAGATCGTACGTATGGTTTGGATATGAATGACGTGAATAAGTTACTCTTATTACTTATAATTTGTAGATGCTTATGAGAGTGTATAAAATTTGACAAATCTAAGGCGGAGACTTTAAGTCAACGTTTGACGAAAAGACTTTAAGACTGGAGCATTTTAAATACATTGGAGAATTGAAAGAAATATAGAAACTGTTGTTTTACGAACGTAAGAATAATAGAATTATAATATTTAATTCAGCTGTAGATTAAGTATTTTAGATAACTTAAGTATTTATGCACAAAATCCTCGTTTAAACGCATTAACTTTTGGTAAAAGTGATACAGAAATGAAGCAGACCTTTAAAAGTGTAATAAATTAAAGTTTTTAAAAACTAGATTGATAAGACTGAACATACTATAACATTTTGTTGAGATTACATAATAAAAACGTGATACGTGAAAACCTGAGAAATATTGACATCTTAAAAATGAAACAATTAGTTATGGTAGGCGGTAAAAAAACATGAATTTAAAACATACATAATTTATATTAAAAGATCAAATAAAGCTTTATACAATAATTAATAAATTAAAATGTAAACTAATTTTAAACCAGTAAAATTCGTTAAAAAAACACAGTTTCTAGAGTTGAAAAACTGTAATTAAAATTAAAAAATATCGCTTAATAAAAACATATAAATTAGTAAAATACTTTAAAATGATTTAATACTAGTATAATAAAAACAACATTAAACGTGATTTTACAATATACAACTTAAAAATAATAAATAACAACTTGTAATAAATTAATGACGAGGTTAAAAAAACTAGAATAAAACAACCTGTAAATTAAACAATTAAACGTATAATAATAACTAGATAAACAATACATTAAAATTAAAAATTAAACGTTTAAAATACTGAGATGCAACAACTTTATAAAATATATAATCAATAATAGAATATAAAATATAATTAAAAAGTCGTTGTAATTAAAAAATAGACGTTATAAACATAAATCATATAAGCAATTTAAAATTAACCTTAAATTAAACCCAATAATAACAAAAGTAATAAATAATAGAATTAAAGAATTTATTCTAGCAAATTTAAACAATATTAAAAACAGTCATAATAAAGTTTCTAATCAAACTCTAATTGATTAAAAACTTTAAATTAAACAAATGTTTGACTTTAATAAACTAGATAAAAACTTTAGTAGAACAATTAAATTCGTAACTTTAATTAAAATAGTTGATGCCTCTTTAAATTAAATCAAAGCATCGTAAAAACTAATAAACAGTTTAAATTCTAACAAATAGACGTTTTACAAATAATTTAAATTTAAATAAACTGATCATTATAATAAAAATTAAAAACTGAAAAAACTTTTAATTTAAACAAATAACGTTAAAAATAGATAAAAACTTAAATTAAACAATTAAACGTTAAAAAATAGATAAAACACTTAAATAAACAATTAAACGTTATAAAATCTAGATTAAAACACTTTAAATTAAACAAATAGACGTTAAAAACTAGATAAAACACTTAAATTAAACAATTAAACGTTAAAAACTAGATAAAACACTTTAAATTAAACAAATAGACGTTAAAAACTAGATAAAACACTTAAATTAAGCAATTAAACGTTAAAAACTAGATAAAACACTTTAAATTAAACAATTAAACGTTAAAAACTAGATAAAACACTTTAAATTAAACAAATAGACGTTAAAAACTAGATAAAACACTTAAATTAAACAATTAAACGTTAAAAACTAGATAAAACACTTAAATTAAACAATTAAACGTTAAAAACTAGATAAAACACTTTAAATTAAACAAATAGACGTTAAAAACTAGATAAAACACTTAAATTAAATAATTAAACGTTAAAAACTAGATAAAACACTTAAATTAAACAATTAAACGTTAAAAACTAGATAAAACACTTTAAATTAAACAAATAGACGTTAAAAACTAGATAAAACACTTAAATTAAACAATTAAACGTTAAAAACTAGATAAAACACTTTAAATTAAACAAATAGACGTTAAAAACTAGATAAAACACTTAAATTAAACAATTAAACGTTAAAAACTAGATAAAACACTTAAATTAAACAATTAAACGTTAAAAACTAGATAAAACACTTTAAATTAAACAAATAGACGTTAAAAACTAGATAAAACACTTAAATTAAACAATTAAACGTTAAAAACTAGATAAAACACTTAAATTAATCAATTAAACGTTAAAAACTAGATAAAACACTTTAAATTAAACAAATAGACGTTAAAAACTAGATAAAACACTTAAATTAAACAATTAAACGTTAAAAACTAGATAAAACACTTTAAATTGAACAATGATGATTAATTGTGTCTCATTATTTCTTTTGTCACCAAAGTTTAGTCTGCAAAGGAAGTTTAATTTTTCTTGCAATTTGAACCAGCATTTTCTTTTACAAAGCAAATGCGCATCAGTATGTGAACTTCGACCTTCACCTTTGAAATGGACGGATAAAGTTACAAAATACAAACGATATGTCATGTTATAAAAGGACTACTGATAACTTTACATGATCTGCGCTGTCTTTTGCGGTGGATAAAGGGGGGGATAGGGAATGAGGGAGATGAACAAAAATTATAAAATAATTGTTTCAATACTTATATTTCTTCAGTGGATAATATATATATTTCGACTCTGGCGATCAACATTAAATATTCTTTGTTGACTATTATTTTACATCGCCTCAAAAAGATAGTATTACAATTTCTGTATATATGAAATTGGCTCAAGTATAGCGTGAAACATTGGTTGTAGTCTCAAACACTGCGGTGGAATTGACTTTGTTTTTGTATCTTATCTCCATATGGTCGGTTGATGGACCAGTACGAAATTATGTTCCGCTTATCAAACTATCGGTGTTCACCCCAAGTACTTATAAGAAGTAGGTCACACGAGCACCAACACGAGGTCAAGTTTTTTTTAATCACCTGTCAAATTAGAGTTTTCATAATTCAAAATAAAAGTGTAACGTTATTTCTAACAATGACACTTCCTAACACAAAATACAGTCACAGGGAATTCTCAAGGTCATTTGAATAGGCTTTTGTAAAATCTTCTTTATGTGCGAGATTCCCATATTATTTAGATTCCTAAAATAAATTATCAGACCTAGATCGATAGTTCATATTTCTGCCATCAGCATAAAAGCATAAAAATGTTAAAGTATAATGTTGATAACATTTGTGACCACCAATTGGCTTGTATGAAGTTCTGAATTAAAGGATAAGCTGTTTATATCGTTATTTATCATATATATATATATATATATATATATATATATATATATTCAGTTGTGTCTCCTATCTCTCCTATCAGAAGAAACACGTTTCAAACTACAATTATAATTCTTATGTACCTACCCTGGAAGTATTCATTGAGAGGAGATTAGTTATTTTCATTATTATTATTATTATTATTATTATTATTATTATTATTATTATTATTATTATTATTATTATTATTATTATTATTATTATTATTATTATTATTATTATTATTATTATTAAAGAGATGTATTCATGTTTGAAGCATTAATATAATATATCATTATGTCTATAATGGGTATAAAACTATCAAAACAGTTAACATAAATATTTTCTGACCTAGATTACCTCATACATTACAGCAATGAATGCAGATAGGACGAGTACTGGTTTCGTTTGGTCGATATTGAAATGCACCGTCGACCAAATTAAGTTACCTTCTTATTTTATCTTTATATAATTGCTGTAGGTATCTTGTGCTTTATGTAATGAGTCATGGATATTTATCACAAATTTGACGCAAGTACTCTAAAGGGCGTGGAGACTGCTGAACGTGCACACGTT